TGAGTCCTTTAACCAATGCCTTTGGTCCCTTGTCATTTTGATTTACCAATCTCAAGTTATGGCCTTTGACTTAAAGTCACTTTTTGTTGACTTTTGAAAATGACCTATAATGTTGAAATTGATAACTTTTTGTGAGAGCATTTCTTGGACTTGGAACATGAAGATGAATTGTAGGAAATGTCTTTCTCTTCAAAATGAGCTTTGGATGGAATTTTTCTGATAATCCATGTGAAAGTTATGCCCTGGTCAATTTCAGTTGACTTTTTCAGCTGTCCAAATATAGCAACTTTTGCCTCTTTGATGATTTCTGAGCCAAATTTTGAGAATCATGATCAAGCATTGATCAAATGATGTTTGTGGCTTCAAAATGATATGTTGACCAAAAATTTGAACTTTTGACTGCCAAATGACCATTTTGCCCCTACAGTTGACTGTAGTGCAATCTAGGGTTTTGACTGTGCAATTTTGAGCTGAATGCCTTGAAACTTGACATGAGGATGCTTGACCATCTTTGTAGGCCTATGAGACTTGATTGGGCCTTTGAAACCTTCAATTTCTTGATTAGAACACAAACCCTAGCTTTGACTGTATGAGAGACTGTTGCACTGCACAACCCTTGGGGAATTTTGTGACCTTGACTTGGCAATTTCTTGATGAATATGGGAGGGCAAATTTTGGGGTACAACAGTATCACTACAGCATTTACCGTTTGACGGTGTTCAGATCTGTGTTGGCCCCTCGGGCTATAGACTACACTAGCTTCCTTCTTACCAGCAAAAGGCTTCTTAGTCGAACTTGAAGAGGCATCCTTCTGTATTTTACCACTCCGAATTCCAGCTTCTACTCTTTCTCCAGGTAAAATCAGCTTGGTGAAACCAGACGACGAGCTGTCGATTAAGTGATTGAAAAACGGACCAGATAGCATCCCCAGAAACATATCAACCAACTCCCTATCAGACAAAGGGGGTTGGACTCTTCCAACCAAGTCTCTCCACTTTTGAGCATAGTCCTTAAAACCTTCACCTGCACCCATGGACATACCGTGGAGCTGAGTACGAGTAGGAGCAAGGTCGGTGTTATACTGATACTGCTTGTAGAAAGCAGCGGCAAGATCTTCCCAGTTTCAGACACTGGCTCCTTCCAACTGGTAGAACCATTCAAGCTGAGTCCTTGACAGACTATCTTGAAAGAAATGCACCCACAAATTTCCATAAGCAGTGTGGGGTTGGATTTTCCTGACATACAAGCGGAGATGGAGTTTTGGACAGGATACTCCATCGTACTTGGCAAAAACCGGAGCTTTGAACTTATGAGGGATGACCACTCCTGATACCAGTCCCAATTCTCCGAAATCCAAATCAGGTATTTTTTGAATCTCCATAGCGCTCAGACGGTCTTCTAGCTGCTTGTACCTATCCTCAGCAGGAGGATATTGCTCATCGTCGTAATCAGTATCATTGTCAGAAACTGCAGGACTAGGGTCCTTTTCCCTTTCTTGGTTCTCCCCGTCCTTGGATGAAGAGGTCAGATCAGTTTGATGCTTCAACCTTTCTCTGAATCTTCTACCCATGTTCAGAATACCGATCTTCTTCTTCTTCTTCTTCTCTTTCAGAATAAGGGTCTTCAGATCCTCTTGCCCTTTAGCCAGACTTATGAACATTTGTTGGAATTGGGCGTTCTGTGCCTGAAGTTCTTTGATGGCTTGATCGGAAGACATTTGTGTTGAAATAAACAACAAAGAAATGAGAAACCTGTAGTGGTACCTGTAATGATGTGCATGATAATGGGATGCGCATGTAATGATTTCAAAGACTTTGGGAGATTTAAATTTGCAAACCAAAAATAAACAAAACTTTATTAGCTTGACTTTGAAAGGTTCAACAATGCCTTTAAGGCGTTACAAAGAAGTAAATAAAACAAATCTAAAACTAAAAAAAACAAAATCAAAAGTCCCATGGATGCTTCCTCTTTGTGCTGATGTAGTCATTGATCACTCTTTCTTCCTCGAGCTGCCTGGTGAGCTTTAAAACCTTCCTCTCATGCTCATGGAACTGCTCCCTGTAGGTATCCCGCTCATTCTTCAGCTGAATCCAAGACCTCTGTAACTCCCCAGGATCAGTGGGCATGTAAGGATATAGAACCGTGTAAGGAATACCTTCTTCATTAGTGGGCTCCACAATCACTGGTAATACGGCCGCGTAAGGCATCACAAGCTTCTGGGCACGAGCTCGAACCCATTGGAGGTAAGGCTGCATAGGAAGGGAAGTCTTTGGTCCCAACTCTTCGGGGTCAGATCTATTTACCTTGCCCCAAGCTCGTATGAACCTCCGACGATGCTCCTTAACATCCTCCTTATAGTCAAATACAATGTCCTCAAGAAGTAACTCATGGGGACCATCTCTTCGAGCACGGCCAAATTGTCGTAAAGCTAGACAAAGATTGTAAGTTACACCTCCCCTGATTCCAAGCAATGGGACATAAAGAAATTGGAAGTAACTCGACATAAAGAAAGTCTTGTGGCGAAAGGATTTCTACAGAAAGGAGGAATAGACTTCGATGAAGTTTTTACACCTGTTGCTAGGATCGAAACAATCAGGTTGGTTGTTGGTCTAATAAAAATAAACAGATGACACATATGTCAGATGGACGTGAAGTGTGCATTCCTGAATGGACCCTTAGACGAAGAAGTTTATGTTAAACAATTAGTTGGATTTGTGAAACATGACGAAGAGAGAAAGGTGTACAGGCTGCATAAAGCCCTGTATGGATTGAAACAAGCTCCAAGAGCTTGGAATAAGAAAATAGATAGTTTCCTAAGGGAGAAGGAATTTATGAAGTGCACAACTGAACATGGAGTATATGTAAGAATAAGTAATATTGCTTATACTATGTCTCTATGTCGATGATTTGTTGATAACAGGTAGCTGCAAAAGTGAGATCGAAGACTTCAAAGGTGATCTCAAAAAAGAATTTGAAATGTCTGATCTGGGTGAGATTTCATATTTTCTTAGCATCGAATTCTATAAGAGCAGTAGAGGTTTGATGATACATCAAAGAAGATATGTAGGAGAAATTCTCAAGAGATTTGAGATGGAAGAATGCAACTCAACTTCAACACCTGCAGAACCAAGACTGCAACTATCGAAAGATGCAGATGAAGATGATGTCGATCCAACCCAATACAGAAGACTTATTGGATCATTGAGATACCTTTGTCATACAAGGCATGACTTAGCATATAGTGTAAGTATGGTAAGTAGATTCATGCAGAAGTCAAAGGTATCACATCTAGCAGCGGTGAAGAGGATACTAAGATATCTCAAAGGATCTCTCGACTATGACATTTTGTTTCCTGCAACTGATAAAAGAAAAGAATGCAAGTTAGTGAAATACACTAATTCAAGTTGGTGTAGTGATGCTGAAGATCGAAAATTAACAGCAGAATATGTGTTTATGTTAGGTGGTACACCAGTTGCTTGAAGTTCAAGAAAGGAATCAGTAGTGACATTATCATCATGCAAAGCAGAATACATAGTTGCTTCTCTTTGTGCATGTCAAACAACTTGGATGGTGAACTTGGTCGAAAAAATAACAGAGAAAGATCATGAAGCAATTATCATGAAGATCGACATCATGTCAACTATCAATTTGGCGAACAACCCGATAACACATGGTCGAAGCAGGCACACCGAAATGAGGTTCCACTATCTTCGAGAGCAGATAGCAGATGGAAAGATGAATTTGCAACACTGCAGAACTGAGAATCAAATTGGAGACATCATGACGAAGGGTGTGTAGGTCGAAGTGTTTCGAAAACTAAGAGCTATGATGAATGTAGATAGCTTAGACACAACGAATTAGGTGGTGTGTTGAAAGTAACTCTTTGTGTCGAAGCAGTTTGCTCGACAGAGACAAGGGAGTGTCGAATTAGGTGTGTCGAAAATGCTACACACAGATTTGATTTGTTTTAAATTTAAATAGATTTGATTTAGATTTAAAATAGATATATTTGATTTAGTACCAAAATAGGTATTTTGTACTTTTATAGTTTTGAGCTTTGGGTTAGGAGCAAGCTAACCTAAATCTATAAATAGAGGGAGTAATCCCTAATTTTGTAATCAAGTCAATTCATTGTAATTACAAAATTTAAGTTGCAAGTGATTAACAAAGTTTTCCACAGTTTGTGGGCAGAGAGAAACTATGCAGAAAATAATTGTCTTTTTTCTTTTCTTTTCTCATAATTCATTGTTATTATGTGGTGATATCAATTTTGTTCATCAAGATTGGTAGAAATTCATCATAGATATTTGATGGATTTCCAACACATTATACAACACTTTTTATATTATTCTTTTCACTCTTCTCAGGTATTTTTTAGAGATGTATTTTTTGGGATGATTGATTTTTGGGTCAAATTAAAGGCTCTCGAAAAATAAATTCCATCGCGAAGGAACTCAAGAAATTTTATTATTCTCATTCAATAACATCAAGTATGTACAAAGTAGTAGGTTGAAAGACAGGACAATGACAGTAAACAATTATAATCTCTTTTTCTGTCTTTTTCCCGCCTCTACTTACTAACCTCTATCTATCAATCTGGAAGTAACCTTTAAAATTCTCAAATTACTATTTTCATTTGGCATATGCACAAGCAGCCTTTGGATTTTTTTGATAAATCCTGAGAGCATATCTTCTCACTTGTGCAACTATTAAACCAAACAATCACGGAGAGAAGAAGCCGTGCAGTTCCAGAAGTGGCAGAAAATCATTGAATCTACATCCGCAGAGTGTAGATGAACATCATGATCCCAAGTGAGGGGAGAATGTCAGCAAATCAGAGGTCAAGGACCAAAAGAAATCACATAAAATGCTATCAATTCACTATTTTAAATTTCTAATAATTGAAGTGGGTGTGTCAATATACTCTTCCCTTTCAGGACGCTGCTGTAATTGGAGAATGAATGTATGAGGTCTGCGAAGATGGATAGGATATCTGAAACTTATCTCTTCCACCAATCTGAGATTTTAAGCCTCCGGCTTCTATGAACAGATTGTCTTATCTCCGGAAGCTTGTGCCTGATCTGTCTCCACAGCATGTTAACAGCATCTTCCCTTTTTGGTGGATAATAGAATTCATAATGATGGGAGATGTTTTTAAGTTGCCTCCACATTTCAGTCCATTTCTGCTTTGGAAAACTGCGAAGCTGATCAATCATGTAGCCTGGCTCCAGTGCTTCTTTGAAGGAAAAGAACAATGAGAACTGAGAGTAGTCAATCTCATTCTCAAATGGGAGTTCAATTTTATCACTCACAATAACAGGAACACAGTGACTCACGATTGCATCAAAAAGGCGGCAAGAGGAAGGTGTGTCTCCTGCTGGATGCAAACAGAATTTTGATGAACGCATCCCTTTAGATGACTGTTATAATAGACACACAGCATGAAGAATTTACTATAGTTAATTAAGTATTTAGCTGAAAATGTAATAAAGTATGTGCTCACACTTCTAAAACATTTATTTCATTTTGTTCATAGAAAACAAACAGAATCCCAGCATCAGAATGCAAGTAAAAAATGACTTTTTAACTAAAGAGAGGGTAAATAACCACAAATTTTCCAGCTACATATAAGTGAAAAACAGAAGGAAAAAAAAAAAAAAAACCTCATGCATAACTTACTTCATACCAATTTTATGTTCTCTCCTGTAGCAAAGCTTCGTTCGTAGTGAACATCGTCAAAACCAGCTAATATCTTTGTGAATTTAGCACGAACAATGCCTTTCTGCAAACAACACATACCCCAAAATTCAAGTTTTTAGTAATTTTAAAGAAGTCCACATTATTCTTACAATTGAATCTCATATAGGCAAATACATACATCCTTACGGTGCGTCCTCCCTCTGAAAAAAAGCAGAGTGGTGCGAGACTCAAACGGATCTTGAGGCTCATCATCTATATAAGAATCTACAACATGTACATAAGGGGACACTACATCCTTGTTCAAATTAGAAACTCCTTTTGGATAACGACCAAAATCAACAACAACCTGAATAGACTTGTTCAATTGATCTCGCAGAAACCTAAATGCATTGGGATGTGTCATAGGAAATACATGGTCTCTACCTCCAGACCTTTGCCAGTACTTGGATTGCCTTAATAATCCCATCAAATCAATCTGGAACCAGAAACAAGCCATGCTTAACACTAACAAGTAATAACATTAACAACACAAATTTAAAAAATAAAAATGGAAAATTATAGTTATAACTTAATTTGAATTAGTAATCCCAATTCAACTAATACCCAATTACAGAATTTCCAGTTTACATTCTCAGAGACAAATACACAAACAACTTGTAAGCAAAGCTATTGAAACTTGCAATGAAAAAATAACATCTTTAAATTTTTTTTTTTTATATATAATGGCTCTGTTTGTTAAAAATAACTATGGACGGATAAGTTAGCTTATAGTTTATGATTGATGACTGAGTTAATTGAAGTGTTTACGTGAGTTACCTGCAATTGATGATCAATCTGCGTTTCGGGATCTGTCATGTGATGACCATGGGTATTGAAACTAAGCGAGGAGAAAAAAGGAACAAAATACACATCAGCATGCTCCGGATCCAAAACCCTTACCGCTTCACTTCCATTTCCGCCACCGTTAAGAAGTGACCCCATCATCCAGTACTCTACACTATGCTGCCTCTTGAGACCGGAATTACCAGGCCATAGAGGAAAGTCAACAGCGGTCACCGGAGCTTCTGTTGTATTCCGGTGATCCAGCATGCCGACGTTAAACCGCCGGGGAAGATCATACATGTAGACGCTTAATGGAATTTCATCGGTGCACGGAGAGGTTGCAGCAACCGCCGGTGATTGATAAGAAGATCGAATGTCGAGCGTTCCGATCAAGATTGAGCATGGAATGAAGATTAAGAGGGAAATGATGAAAGAAATGAGAACTTTTCCGAACATTTTTGAATGGTTTTGTGGTAATGATGAAGTTGAAGAATGAAGAAATGAGGTGAAGGTAGTGAAATTGTTGTTATTTGTATAGTTGGTTCATTCGGTTTGTACTTAGTGGCGTTACACATTGGTATGTGCACATGGTGAAGATACATTGCTTGGTTTGAAGGTTGAGTATTTTAATTTGTTTTCATAAATATTCTTGAGTCTTGTAGTTGGAGCATGAAACGGAAAAGCGGTGGATAACTTTGTTGAGGAGATGTAGGAGTCTCAGATTTTAGTCTAAGACAATGAGATCTTCTGTCTCTTTATCTATTTATTCTTTGTGCTAAAAGTTTTGATGATATGCAAGTAATTATAAATTCTCTGTGGCGAACTTCAAAATCTTGGAGCACAAGAGGTATAAATTAGTTCTTGTGAGATACAATCTCAATAGACAGTGTGTCCTAATTTAGAGTTCCTGTTAAGAGATTATGATATTAACTTAGTATTGTTTCTATTAAAAATTGAATTCGGTATTCTCCGAACATTTTTTGTTTATAGTATTTTTCACTCGTTTTAAGACTTTTCAAAGTTAAGTATTTATGTTTGGGAATTTCTTTTTTCAGTCTATAATGAAAAGAAAAATCTTATGTAATTTATAAAACGCCTCTTAAAAATTAGAAATATATTTCCGATGCACATCATGCACCACACATAAACAAATTAAATATTGTTTTTCTGCTTTCTGTGTAGCACAAAACCGGAAATGTAAGTTCGAGTATAAATCGGAAATTAAATTCCGATTTCATCCTATATTTTATCAAATCTTGGTGCGTCCCGAAAATGCATTTTTGTAACTTTACGTGATACACTATAAAACTATAGGGTGGAAAAAGAAATCCTCTTGCGATTTGGGTTTTTAAAGCAAACTATGGGCGTTTAGGTTTGTATATTTAGTGTAAGTATCAATTCTACTAGTGGATGAAAAGGTAAATGCATATTACTTTATAAATGTGATGACTCATATACTAATATTTTAATATTTGAGTTAAAATATGGCGTCTAACTCATTTGATGGAAGTCTTCAAAGTACGGTGTGATAATTCATAGACCCCTTCATGATCCCAAAATGATATCAAGAGTTTTGTTTGACTTTTTTTTTTTGTATTTTAAATGGAGAAAAATCGAGAGTCTGATATGATTAAGTTCAACTATGGAAAACTCTCATGGAAGACATGTTATATAGTAAAGATGTGTATGATCCTATTGAGATGGGAAAGGTAAATCGAATGATAAGTCTGATGTTGAATGAAATAAGATGAATTGTAAAACAATTGTTATAATCAGGTAGTGGTTGAACTTAAATGTATATCCAAATGTTAAAGTCGAAATTGATTAAAAAAATGGAATAAATTAAAAGATTTGTATAAGCATAAGAACATGCAAAATAAAACATGTTTGATTCAGAAGTTGACTATTATGAAATACAAGGATGGTAATTTAATGTAGAGCTTATGAATATGTTTTAGAATATAATAAATTAATTAGCATCCATTGATATTAAGTCGTATGATTATGAAATAGTAAAAGTGGGAAATGAGTGAGTTTGTGAAATTGTTGGTATGGAAGATGTTTGATATAACACCCTAATTCTTTGGCGTAATTTATTAATAAAAATCAGAGTAAAATAAAACAATCAAACAATTATGATGTTACATTCAACCTCTACCCGCTCATGTGATAGAATATGTAACACATGAAATTTAAAAATAATAGAAAACATAACGGAAGTCTGAACTCCAATATTTTATTAGCAGCGGAAAAGCATCAACAAACTGAATAATTTTAAATTCTCAAACATGAATTATAACAAAATATAATTATAAAGAATTATCGAACATCGAAGAGTCACATAATAGTCTCCTCCTAACATAATATAAAGAACAAGTGTTATCTTCCCAGTGTTACATATTATCGCGGCGGAATTTTTGAGATTAAGCTATTGATTAATTTAATTTAAAAAAATAAGATTCACCACCGAACTTTATTGTTTCTAAAGGAAAGGGAAAATACCGAATAAAATCCACAGAAGTTTTAAAAACAAAAATAATAAAAATAGATATTTGAATACGGGGGTTGGTTATGCAAATGGAAGGTATTAACATCATTCACATCTACGGTACTTCGTATGAACCTCTTTGAAAAATTTTGTGTTATAAAAAGATGTTGTTTGCAAAAGATTGATCGGATGGGAAAAAATTATTTTTATAATTTTTGTTTTACAAGACTTCAAGAGTCTTGTGCCTACGTATCCTCCAAGTACAATGAAGAATCAAAACCTCATAGTCCATGGTAAAAATAACAAAAATTGTTTGTTTTGGTTGATTTTAATGAAAAAACATGTTGTCTATTCGAGTGGAAAACTTACTTACTACCTACAATTATGAGGAATGAGCATTTGCATCATCTTGATATGGAGAGTTTTGCTTGGATTTAATAAACAAGGCAATTCTCAATATTGAAGTGGAAAATGTCAATCACTTCACAACATATTGTAGAAGTATAATAGCTTGCATCACTTCAAGAATCAACTAATGTCCAATCTTTAAGAAAAAGTTTTAAAAGGAAAAGTGCACAAAAAGGCACAAAATATTTGAATGAGTTTTGTATTTTTTAGTCTTTTGAAATGATTTTGATATACTTAAGATGTCTTAGCATTTATTAAGGAAATAGTTTTGAAAATCACTTGACAAAGTCAAGAATTATTTGGAAAGAGGTTTCAAGTTTGAAAACAAGAAGTTTTTGAAATAAGGAGAAAATTTTTAAAATTAAAGAAGGGGTAGGAGATGAAGAGATTATCCTAAATCATAAAGTAAATGCAAGAAATAAATAATACCATTGTAAGATAGCCTAAGATAAAGTCTTTGTGTGGGCATGTAAACTAACCAAGATGAAGCAAATATCTGACATAAGTCAAGCAAAACATTCATTTACTTTGGATTAAGCCACAAATTAAGCAAACAAGATCAAAAGCATTAGATGAAAATCCAATGCATCAGATAAAATTCCAAACATCATATGAAAACCAAAGTCTCAGATGACAATCAATGCATAAGATGAACTTCAAGATGTCAGATAACAATCAAATGCATCAGATAAACTCCAATGTATCAGATAGTAATCTTTGCATCAGATGAAAAATAAAACAAATAGACAACATTCAAAGATCATAGAGAAACAACTCAAAGTCTCGGATAAGTGGTACATATGAAACTTATGGTATCAGATGAACGTTTAACCCAAGGATCTATCCTAAGTCCAAAAGTCAAACTCTTTAAGCAATGAATAGTAACCAATAGACCAAGTGATCAGAGACAAGTTTTTTTTTATAGTTTTTAGCCTTTACTAATGTCTTTTAATGAAAAGAAAAATAAAATATCAAATGGACAAAAGGAAAAAAAACATAAAGTAAATAAAAAATAAAATGACATAAAATAAAATGACAGTGAATGTAAATGCTTGAAATATAAAAGGCTGAAACTAAAGTGTGTTAATTTAAAAGTGAGAATTTAAATGATATTAATATAAAAGTGTGGAAACATAAAGTTAGCATTAAGAACATTAATGTTAGTAATTAATATTTCGATTCGGGACAATTTGCCGCTATGTTAAGCAATCGTAAGTGAACTTATATAGAAGTTGCACCTATTCGAGACCGGACCAAAATAATGTAGGTGTATTACATAAATGCTCACCATGATTTAAAACCAACAAGGTGATGAAAATCAAAGTCTAGGAGACGATATCATTACATCAATCAAATCCTTCATGATACCTTGAGACAAACTTATCATCAATCCAAAGCACCTAAAGTGATCAAGTGACTACTTAGAGGTAGATTTGAATGATGAAAGTTCATCAACATCAATCCAAACCTAATTGAACAAGATTATTCATCATCATCCAATTGATCAAAAGGAAAAAAATAAGAAAGAGATGAAGGAGAAAGATCAACCATATTTAATCACAACATTAGATGAAACTATCATCAATATCAATCACATTTGTTGGTGTGTTAATGTGATAAACCTATCACTAACTCAAAGTATTAAAAATAACCCAAAAATCATTTAATAATAAGTTTGAATTAATGAAGATTCATGCAAACAAAGTATCACCCAAAGTCCATTGAGATTGATGAAGTTTTAAGTCTCCCAAATCATGATCCAAGGCACCATAATATATACCAAATAATAGAAAAAAAAGCAAAGCAAAAAATAAAGCATAAAATGGTTCTTTTAATGGAAAATAAGAATAAAATATCAAAATAATATCAAAACATCAAATAAATGACAACACAAATAATAGAAAAAACATAAACAACTCATAATATTTTTAGGAATTTTTGGAGGAACTAAACATGTATAAAATCATTTTTAAACCAATTAATACAAAGGAAATAAAAGAAAAATAAAATAAAATATCAAAATAAAAAATAAAAAATCTAAAAAAATTATACAAGGTGTAAAATAATCATAAATATTTTTATGAATTTTTTTTGATAATTTTTGGAGCAAAAATTGATTCAAAATAAATTTTAGAAATTTAAACAAATTAAAAACAAAATAAGAAAAAGAAATTAAAACTGAAATTACGTGGACCATAGGATTAAAATCACTTATGCCAAGTAATCTGATCGAAGGGATCTCAATGAAAGCGCACCATGGACTTTAAGTGAAATGACACATCAGATCTGATTTGAATCCACCAATCAAATTAAAATAAACGTGAGCACGTTATTGGCCAAGGAAAATGAAACAAACTATATCACTAGAAAATCTCTCTGGTCGTCTACTTCGGTGCGACAGTCATCGGAGTTTGACAAATAGTGATGTTAAGGCTTAAGACCTACATCATTATGACCGTGTCATCAAGGATAATCCAACCATTAGCTCCACTTTCATTTATTCAAAGTGTGCTAAGAGTATTTTGAGGAAAATCATGGTAAACCCAAAAATGAAAATCAA